GTATGAGAGACAAGTGTTGGCAGAGGGCATGGCGTGTAACCGCTTACCTTTCATCCACGTCCTGGAACAAGCAATTTGGTGTATGCGTGGTTGTGAAAATTCTCTTCTCAGGAGGAATTCTAGGGGCTGAAAGAACAGAACAGTGCACACATTTCTAACTCTAGGAAATATGTATTTAGTGTGGTCGTATTACCACTACTAGAAAATACCACGCGGGTTCACAGGGAATACTGGGTAGCTAACAAAAAGAGTTAAAAAGTGGACTTTGAACAACAGGGAAGCCTAGCAGACACCCCCCTGATGGCCACCAGCTGACCCTCACAACTTCTCTGTGGGCCAGCTTTGTGCTTGTTGTTAGTGGGGGGCCGATTCATGGCAACCCCATGTACAACAGGATCGGACCGTTGTGAGGAAGTAGATTGCCAGGCCTTTCTGCCTAGTCCACCTTCAGGGGCAGATTATCCAATAGGCAAGGTAAGCACGGTGCTCACCTTGCTTACCAGATCAGCTGCAGTAAACAATTTCACATATGAAATTGTTCACTACAGATTAGTAAGAAAGCACAAGTAAGCCTGTGCTTACCTTGCTGACTGGATCATCCATCCCTGTCAGGGAATGTAAATTTGAAAAGAGGCTTTGATTCTGTAGGAAGGTGCTGTGGGGTTGGGAGAAAGACAGATGCCAGCCATACCTAGAAGTAGAATCTTTGATGTGGTGAAAAAATGTGAACTTGTTCACTACAGATGATCTGGTAAGCAGGGTCAGCACCGTGCTTACCTTGCCTATTGGACAATCCGCCCCTGGCCACCTTAGTCTGGAAGCTCTGCTGAAACCTGTTCAGCAACATAGCAACAAGAGGTCCAGGGCCCAGGCCTCCACTGACAGGCCGGGAATCGAACCCGGGTCTCCCACTGAACCAGCACTGGCCCTGGCCTAGCTTTAGACTCTAGTAAACTAGGAATCACAGCTTTGACAAAGCCACATACAGGGACAGGCTGGCCTCTCTTAGCAAACCATGCTGGGAGGCCATCTTCCTGATTTTAAGACCAAAGCAAGAGTGATCTGAACAAATTATTTCTTAAAAATAACTCAAGGAACTAAATTCAAAGTTCTCATCAGATGTCACTGTCTTGGGTAACTTCACGGCTTCTGGGGTGGGTGAAGAGCTGGACTAATTTGTGCAAAAAAAAGTTATAGACCCAAAACTTGCCTCGAGCTACCAAATACAGGGACAAAACATCCCCAATTCCAAACATTTTCATTCTTGAAGGAGACCAATCATTTTGGGGAACAACTTTTTAAAAATTAAGTAAAACCCGTTTCCATCAAGTTGATTCCAACTCATAGCGACCCCATAGGGCAGAGTAGAACTGCCCCATAGGGTTTCCAAGGAGCGGCTGGGAGATTTCAACTGCCAACCTTTTGGTTAGCAGCCGAGCTCTTAACCACTGCACCACCAGGGCTCCAAAAGCTAAGTAACCCCTCTAAATCTTAACTGAATGTTTGGAAGAGATCGTTGTACACGCAGGCACACATCAAACATTTTAAAGAAAGTCATGTACCAAGAACAACATTTCTATCATTTTTAAGAAGTGTGTTAACCACTGAGAGAATCAGAAGTGCAATTACGTAGGCACGAAAGGGGACCCCTCATGGTAAGTGGCTCCGTGTGGCTACTGCCTTCAGCGCACTCTGCAAGTGCATGACTAACTCTCGCTCACTACGTTACCACTGTGGGCATCTGGACTGCTGGCAGGTACCGGGCAGGTACAGGGATGGCGTGACTACAACACAACGCAAAGCAGTCCATGAGGAGGCGTCAAAAGAAGGTTACATCTGAGGTGGCAAGGTGCCGTAGGGCCTTTGGATTCAAAGGCAGAACCCTACATTCTGTTTGCAGGGTGGCCTGAGGAGATGGCGGGACCAGGAGAGGGAGCCTGGTGAGACAAGACAGGTTTGATGACAGGACCCCCAGGCAGAGGTCAGGGGGGTTCTAGGCGGGAGTCACAGAAACGC